CGTGATGGCGCCCAACACACTGCTAGGCAAGCCCGACCAATTCAACAACCTTAACCCTTTTTATACAGTTCATGATTCAATTAACACAAATAATTACTAAGTCATAATACTGAAACTCTGAAATATAATTAAAACATGCGGAAAATCCAAGTAGAAATACTACTACACAGCCCGAAGAATCCGGTGTCACAAGTCTGAGCCTCTAATACACGGGTGTCAACATACTACATACTGCTCTAAACAAATGCGGAAATAAAGCAAATAGGTTAGATGGGAAGATCAGGACTGCGGACGTCATGCAGCTTCCTTGATGCTCCCAGATATCATGCTCGGCAGAGAAATCCTCACTCAGCCTCAGTGGGTGCACATAGATCTGCACACAAGATGCAGGGAGTAATGTGAGTACTTCCAACCCAGAGAGTAATAAACATAAATAAGGGTTGAGAGTAAGAAATCCTGGATAGGCACAATTTAAGCTATAATTACAGAAGTTTAATCCAGATAATGTCAACTCAATAAACCAATGAAAACAATGATGCTGCAACAGATAAGTAAATGAATGACAATCAATTAAGACATGCAACAAATAGTACGGTACTCTCTAGTACCCGCTGCGGCGTGCAGCCCGCTCCATTTATTTATCGTCGACGGCGCTCACTGGGGTGTGCAGACTCCGAGAGGGGCCCCTTACGGCCCAAGCGCAATATCAAGCCATCTCGTGGCATCCATTAGGCCCTAAGCCTCATATCAATATCAATATAATACTGCTGCGGCGCGCAGCCCGATCCCATACTCAGTTCAAAATCATATAAGCCCCTCGGGCACAATAATATAGAAATATTCAGCCCAAACTTCATTAGAAATATTATTTAAGTTCCAAGTTTTGAGAAAAAGTGGCTGAGTTTGCAAAACAGTACTAAATACTAGGACTGAGTTCAATTGTCTGAAAATATGGTAAGAAACCAGTAAAAACAATCCCTGAAGGATTCAATCAGTTGGCACGAGGCCAAATTATGACAATTAATCCATTATAAGGATCTCCCTAAGCTTCAATCAATTAGGTAGTAATTTTATTAAGCGGGACGGACCAAGTCACGATCCCCGACGGTGCTCTACCCCACGCCTGTTATCCGGCGTGCAAGTCACCTCAACATAGCACTACAATGTGCAAATTCGGGGTTTCAAACCCTCAACACAGCATTTACATCTATTACTAACCTCAAGCCGGCCAAAATCCTAGCTCGCTATGCCCTTGCCTCTCAAATCGACCTCCTCGCGCGTCGAATCTGACCACAACCACAACGAATACGTCACATTATGCTATAGGATCAATACCCAATCGAAAATAATCGAAAAACATCAATAATCCCGAAATTGACAAAACCCGAGCCCCGGGCCCACTTCTCGAAACTCAGAAATTTTTACAGAAAAGTGTTCTTCATCTTTTCCCGATTCCGTACATATAAAGAACACAAAAATCGGAGTCCGTTTGACCCCTCAAATCGACCCCTAAAGGTCTCTTAATCTCAGGCCCCAAAATCCTATTTTTCTATTGTTTTTCATGAATTAAAGGCTGGGATTATGGTCTATAATCACCCATAAACGAGTTTCAATAATGAAATCACTTACCTCTGTGATACCCACTGATTTTCTCTCTTAAAAATCGCCTCAGAAGCTTCTTCCCGTTCAAAAATTGGAAGAAAACTCGACCTGCTCATTATAGGTATACTGTTCACGCGTTTTACTGCTCCCAATGGATTCCTTGTGAAATTCTAATGAATTTAGGCTTTTGAATCACTCAATTTGACCTTATAATGAAGGAGATATGTAGGTTTTAAGATTTGCAAATAGTGCAGGTTTTTAATACGCCGTCAGGGGCAATTTCGTCATTAATCTGAAAATCTGGGCAACCTTGCTAAATTGCCATAAAATCCTCATACGATGTCCAAATTCGACGATTCTTTTTGCTACGAGTCCGTAATACGATACGGATCTAATGCTTCATTCAAAACAGTAATCGGAGCTCATTTGTTCAATATGATATCATTTATGCTTGAAGAAACGACGTCGAAGCATAAGAAAAACGAGCACAACGCAGCCCAAACCTATCCGAAACTCACCCGAGCTCCTCGGGACCGCATACGAACATACTAACACGTCACATATGATCATTCAAACTTAGTTGCACTCTCAAAACACCAAAACTAACATCAAAACACCAAATTTACATCGATTCAAGCCTAAGTTCTTCTAAAACTTCCGAAACACGCATTTGATCAAAAATCCAACCAAATCACCTCCGAATAACCTGAAATTTTGCACACACATCCCAAATCACCTAACGAATCTACAGCAACTCTCGGAATTCCATTCCGACCCTCGGATCCAAATCTCACCTATCAACCGGAATTCGCCAAAATACTAACTTCGCCAATTCAAGCCTAATTCTACACCGGACCTCCAAAATCACTTCCGATCACACTCCTAAATCACAAATCATATCCCGAAGCTAACCGAATCGTCGGAATTCACATCCGAGTCCTCTAACTCATAGGTCAACATCCGGTTGACTTTTCCAAAACAAGCCTTCCTTAAAGAGACTAAGTGTCTCATTTCCTTCCAAAAGTCAACCCAATTCAACTCGTTCACATAAGACACTGATAATGAAGCATAACGAAGCAGGAAATGGGGAAAACGGAGCGGTTCTCATGAGACGACGGGTCGGGTCGTCACATCTGACTACCGCCTAATCGGCTAAGCCGTCTCACCACAATGCCATGTGAGTCGACATGGTCCTTTGCTAGCTATCACTTCATCCCAATTAAGGGGAATACTCTCAATACATCACCACGGGAATTTATCTTTCAATCAATCCTACACCTGTACGTGTAGTTTCAGGTTTAGGTCATTTCGACCCACCCTCAATTTATCTCTCAATCACTCATATCCCTTATTGTCACTCTTGTCCATACACGTAAATCATTGTTCTTGGCACAATGGCCGTATTTCAATTATTTCATACTCTCATTCTTTCACTTTCAAGGATCATAATAGGTCATCAACATAAAGAACATTTGAAAATCACGACCTTAAATACATAAGTAATAAGAGTCTTAAACATATTGAATTTTTCTTCCCAAAATAGAGCATAATGATTTACAATTGAAACATGAATTTAAGTCATATTGGATACATTAACCATATTTCAAATATTTTCCCGAAAGAGAGTAACATGATAGGAAAATTGGAATGTGAATCAAATCATAAGCCCTTGGGTAAGCTAACCATAGAAGCAGATTGTAATGACGGAAATAGGAACTTGATCAAATCATAATCGAAGTTTATGAGAAATTCATGGAATTCGATTCTACGGAATGATTTTAGCCAATATACCTCGTTTGAGCTTTTCCTTAGAATTACTAAAATGTATCAAGACTCCTAGCTATTTCAATCTATAGAGACATCACAAAATATAGCCATAGTTAGGGAGGTGCTCATAGGTTCAGCTTATTTAAGGTCCTATGGTGGTAAGGTGCAATTGCTACTACAAGGTCCTATGATGGTAATTCTTCATCCCACAACCAAATCCCACATCAATAGCTCATCAATATTAGTTCAACGACCTCTCTACCACCTTCATTGGCACATGCATGCACAAATGACCAACTCCTATCTCAAAAATCATGCTTCCCACTACCTTTACTCAGCCTAATTTTGAAATTGAGAGCTAGGGATAGAACCTTCCTCTTTAGTAGAAGACTTTTTGAGTACTCCCCTTGAATTTCCAAAGCTTGAGCATGACATTAAAGTGTGGAGATGTTAGTGCCTCTCCTTCTCTCTCTAGCTCCCTTCCCCTCTCTCTAAAATATTATATTTTTGCCTTCAAATAACCCTAATGGCTTTTAATTAAAATAGGTTCAGGTTATAAAATACATAAATAGACCCTCCGAACCCAATCAGGGATCGCAGAACGCATAGCAGAACAGGAATGTGATCTGCGAAAAGGATCGTGAAATCGTCCTCCAAAACTGGGCCGGCCTGGTCAAGTCTACGGCAGATCTGATGTCCGCAGATCACTTCTGCGTCCGCGAAATGGACCGCGAAACCTCTCTTAAGAAAATTCTCATGCTGGATCTGCGATGGAAGTGCGGCCCGCAAAATGAATATGCGGGCGCATTGTTGACCGCGGAATAGCCCTCAAAATTGAGCTTCTTTTGTTCAAGTCCATGATAGTTCTGCGGCCAGCGAAATCGATTTGCGGTCGCATAATGAACTGCATAAATGCCATGTTCTGCAAAATTTTCCACCAACTCCACGACGCATTTCACAACCCAAAAGTCCGTGTACAATGCATCGTGCAGTTACCTCAACCTACCTCGATACCATAAAACCTCGAATTCTCTGTAAAATTTTACGGGGCCTTACACAACCGACATGATAACTCAGTGTTATGAAGGATGTTCCACAAAGGAAAAGTCTTCACAACGGCTATAGGGTGATATTGAAAGTAGGGTCTAAGATTTCAAGAAGCAACTACGAGAGCTAGAGCCAACTTTTCCAGGTGCGAATATCGAGTTTTCGCACCTGACAGTATTTTACTAACATAATAAATAGGGTATTGCATACCTTCATCTTCCCGGACCAGAACTACACTTACCGCTACTTCTAACACCGCCGAATAAACTAACAATTGCTCTCCATCCTTTGGTTTAGACATCAAAGGTGGGTTGCACAAGTATTTCTTCAAATCCTTCAACGTTTGTTGGTATTTTGGTGTCCACGAGAAGTCATTCTTCTTTTTTAATAATGAAAATAATCGGTGACACTTTTCTGAAGATCTAGATATAAACCTACTAAGGGCCGCCAATTTTCCAATCAACCTTCGTACCTCTTTTATGCTATTCAGTTGATCAGGAATATCTTCTGTGGCTTTGATCTTGTCTGGATTTACTTTTTCCTTGTTGTGAAACAAAGAAACTGAGAAATTTTTCGGACCCATCTCAAAAAGCATATTTCTCCGGGTTAAGCTTCATATTGTAATTCCTTAAGACGTCAAATGTTTCTTGCAGATGAAGCAAATGATCCCCTATATTAAGAGACTTAACCAACATGTCATCAATATAAACTTCCATAGTTTTACCAATTTGACGCTCAAACATCTTGTTCACTAGCCTCTGGTAGGTGGCTCCAGCATTTTTGAGCCCAAAAGGCATCACATTGTAACAATAAGCACCGAAATTAGTAATAAATGATATTTTCTCTTGATCATCCGTGTGCATCCTTATTTGATTACACCCGGAATACGCATCAAGAAAACCCATCAACTCATGATCAGTTTTGGCATCAATCATTTGATCGATATTCAGCAATGGAAAAGAGTTTTCAAGGCAAGCCTTATTCAAATCTTTAAAATCAATACACATTCTAAACTTATTATTCAGTTTTGGAACTACCACTACATTATAACCAATCACGATACTCAACTTCACGTATTGAACCAATATTAGGTAACCTGGTAACCTCCTCCTTAACAAACATGTTCCTGACCTCGACTATTGGCCGTTTTTTCTACTTTATCAGAGGGAAATTAGGATCCAAGCTTAGCTTGTGGACTGCCACTTCGAGTAGAATACATGTCATATCAGAATGAGATCATGTAAAGCAATTAGTATTAGCTTTAAGAAATTCAATAATTTTATGTCTGAGTTCGGGGCATAACCCCTTTCCCATGTAAACCTTTCTTTTCGGGAACTCAATGAACAAAGTAACTTGTACAAGTTCTTCTGCGATTGATTTTGTTGCATCTGTACCTTTTGGTACCTAGAAAGATCTGGTACCTGGTAAATATTTGTTGTCTCCTCCTTACTACTATCTTTCTTAATATTGTCGCCGGGGTCGAATTGGAAGTTGGCATCGATCCGCCATACTGCTAAACAAAATAATTGCATTTATTTCCTTAGCAACAGGCTGGTCACCTCTAATCTACTTAATTCTATCCGGCATTGGGAATTGTAGCAACTGGAGATAAGTTGATAGAACATCTTTCATATCGTGGATCCATGGCCTATCATGAATCACATTATACCCCATCACCAACCATTACTTCAGATAATGTTAATTTCATCACCCCTTCAGCTTTGCTTTTATCTAAGACGCTTAGTTGAATGATATTGTCCGAACTACCTGAATCAACCAACACTTCACTTAATTTTAAAATCCAAAATATTTAAATATGTTACTAGAGCATCATTGTATGGTAAAGTTAGGCCATCTACATCTTCCTCACTAAAAGTAATTCCATCATCCTCTGATTCTTCCCGGATCCTCTTTCCATGAGTGACCAATATATTCATCTTCCTTGGAGCCGTAAATGTCACCTCATTTACTTCAGCTCCTCCAAAAATCATGTTTATGGTGAGATAAGGAGATCATGTTGGCTTCGGTGGTTCTATTGTATCACGGCCTTTGCTGTAATTATTCTTAGCCCGGTCACTTAAGAACTCTCTAAGATGATCATTTTTCAGCAACATTGCTACCTCTTCACGAAGAAGCATGCAGTCCCCAGTCCTATGACCATGTGTACCATGGAATTCACACCACAAACTAGGATGTCTCTGGCTGGGGTCCAACCGAATTGGTTTTGGAAACCTTGCTTCCTTTATGTTCCTCGTGGTAGACACCAACGTCAAAGATAGTATAGAAAGTATCGTCTCCACAGGAATTGGACTAAATAATGTTTAAGTAATATCTAGTTAAATATTATCCAGGATGATTAACACTTTTATTTGGAATGATTATGAACTACAAGTAACTACTAAAACTAAAGCAATTGACAATTGATCGTGAAGAACTAGAGATTAGCAGAGTTGGTTTGTTATTAGTGTGAGAAATAAGGATCATGACATGATAGGTGCAAAGTTGTTATCCTGGAATTGATACTGTTAAATTTTACTCTTAATGTTCTATTGATTCTCAGTTTCTCACTAATTCAACAGGTTACCTATTATTCTGATTCGAGTTTCTCTCTCGATTAAACCTAAACCGTTCAAATAAGCTAATATGAAGTGCGGTGAAACTTGCAAGAAACTATTGGTAGGAATGATCCAAAAGAAACTTCTCGCAAATATTTCTCAATCTTAATACAAATGGTAGATCATAAATCTCTTTCGATTACTTTAAAGAAGTACCAAAATAAATTAAGGCATGCGCTGCAACAATATTCAATATTATGTTCCTCTTCCGATTAAACATGATAATGAATAAAATTGCATCTAGATTTAAAGCTCCTCCGATAAATTCAAGTAATCAAACACTAATCAAATCCATAGATAACAATCAATTCATTAAATCATATCAGACCTTAAGGTATACTACTCCATAATCATGGAGGAAGTCATCACAAGTAGAGTTAAAGAATAAAAAAATTATCAATTCAACCACTACAAAAAAAAAACTGGAATTAGCTACGAACGTCGTCGCTAATCTATCACTAAAAAGCTCGTAGCTAACAGAATTTTCTTGATAATCCGTTGCTAATCCGTCGCTAAATGAGATTAGCGACGGATTTTTCTATTTAGCTACAGAATTTGTCCGTCGCTAAAACCTGATTTTTTAGTAGTGAATGTTACAATCTAAAATCCTGTATTGAATTGGTGAAAAGATGATTAAACCTTCTGTCTTGAAGCTTCCAATGCTCTCCAAAAGCTCCCAAGGTCAAAAGTCCTCTCAAAATCGTATTTTTGGTGTATTTTATACCTTGTAGGAATGGGTCCAAACGAAACTACCCTCTCAAGCCGAATTAGGAAAAGTTGCGCGAAAAATTATACAGTTGCGTCGTGCTAGTTCACTTTTCCAGAGAGTTGATTTTTGTCAGAAGTCCGCCTCTACACTACCGCGCCATACCATGTGGTGCCCCATATGGCAAGGTAGTGCAAATTTCTTAGAGTTCCGCATTTTATCACTTTTTAAAATCCAGAATTAGTTCTCGACCCCCGAACGTGATTACGTTTTAATTTCTTGGGCTTCTACCCAGAATTTAAAGCTCCAATTCATTGATTTAGCTACACAATTTTCTAAAGCGGAATCACCCCCTACAAAGCATAATACATGTGATAAGTACAAATCTTCGTCATTTAAGCTCAAGCACGAATAAAGTGTAGTAATTAGAGTGCAAAATATAACTAAAACACATGTTCCTAGCCTATCGTCGACACCCCACACTTAAACCATTGCTCTTCCTCGAGCAATCTCACTATACTTCACATAGAGATGACTTTTTTAAACAACTCTCCTAACTCATCATGCCAAAAATATTTAAAGCATACTAAGAACCCCATCATAACAACTCAGCCTCAAGACTCAACTAAAAAGCACCAAGTATTTCTCAAAACCTGCTTACTTATTTGATACGACCCCAATTTTTCTCCGTAGGATGTCGTGATGACATCTAATCTATAATACTAGGTAAGCCTAACATTCATGCAGAAATAACTAAAAAAATTATTAAAGTGTCAAAACTCAAAAACTGATATAAGAAAATCTCCACAACTCAGCATATATATAATTGCCCAAAACCTGGCGAAATACAAGTCACAAGCTCTATGAAGTGGTACTGAATATCTCTATAAATCAGTGTTCAATAAAGGATAAGGAAATAAAATAATCTAGGTAGAGGAGGACTCTGAGGCATGTGGACGCTAGTAGGTATACTTTGAAGTCTCCGCAGTTGAGCTCCCGCTAATACCTGGGTTAATAGGAGGTATGTGCAAAAGTGTAGTTATGTGCAGAAGTGTAGCATGAGTACACCACAATGGTACCCAGTAAGTGCCAAGCCTAACCTCGGTAGAGTAGTGACGAGGTCAGGTCAAGGCCCTACTTGAATAAATAAGAAAAAATGTAAAAGTGTAGGGCAGTGTAGTAATGATAGTAATGAAATTGAAACAACAAATAGCATATCAAGGTTATCTATACGGAAATAAAGTAAATAGTGCAGCAAGGAGAAAAATAAGGAATGATATGCTAAGGAAACAAAACAACCAAAGGCAAGTGCAGCAATAAAAAAAATACCAATAAGAGTCACTACCGAGGTACCGCCTCGTAGTTTCAAATCACAAGAATAATTCACAACATTTCCTTATATCACCGCAGGAGCCTTGCATTTAGTTTTAAAAATCATTTTCCCGAAATAGCATCTCGCGTTTTAGCCCACCTTATCACACTGCATGACTTCTAGTAGTTCCCCCAGCTCCGGGAGTACACCAAGATGTCGTCAATGTACACAATGATAAATGAGTCAAGATAGGGCTGGAATACACTATTCATCAAGTGCATGAATGTGGCTGGGGCGTTGGTCAACCCAAAGGACATCACAGGGAACTCGTAATGACCATATCGAGTCCTGAAGGCAGTCATTAGAATATCCGGCTCCCGAATCTTCAACAGATGATAGCCTGACCGCAAATCGATCTTTGAGAATACTCTGGCACCCTGTAACTAATCAAATAGGTCATCATTGCATGACAAGGTTCTTCACAATAACCTTGTACAACTAGCGATAATCAATACACATGCACATAAAACCATCCTTCTTCTTTACAAACAAGACCGGAGCACCCCAAGGTGACACACTGGCCGAATGAAGACATTATCAAGTATCTCTTGCAACTGCTCCTTTGACTCCTTCAGCTCCGCTGGGACCATATGATATGCTGGAATAGAAATGGGATGAGTGCCCGCTAACAAATCAATACCAAAATCGATATCCCTATCGGGTGGCATGCTAGGAAAATCCACCAAAAATACATCTGGATAATCCCTCACTATCAGAATTGACTCAACGATAGGAGTATCAACACTGACATCCCTCACATAGGCTAGATACACATCACATCCCTTCCCAACCATTCGTTGTGCCTTAAGGAAGGACACCACCATGCTAGGAATATAATCTAAAGTACCCCTCCACTCCAACCGCAGAAAACCTAGCATAGCCAACATCACCGTCTTGGCATGATAATCGAGAATAGCATGACAGGGCGACAACCAGTCCATGCCCAAAATAACATCAAAATCTACCATATTTAGCAACAATAGATCGGCTCTGGTCTCAAAACCACCAAGAACAACTAAACACGAATGATGCACATGATCAAATACAATGGAATCTCCCACTCGCGTGGACACATAGACAGGAAAACTCAAAGAATCACGGGATATACCCAAATATAGAGCAAAGTAAGATGATACATAGAAATAAGTGGAGCTTGGATCAAATAAGATTGATGCCTCTCTATGACAAACCGGAACAATACCTGTGATAACTGAGTCGGATGCAACCGCCTTTGTCCTAGTAGGAAGAGCATAACATCTGACCTGGCCTCCCCCTCTAGGGCGATCTCTACCTGCCCGACCTCCATCTCTAGCTGGTTGTGCAGGTGGAGTGGCAACTGGTGCGGTAACCACGGCCTGTGAAGCCTGAGGGCCCTGTGAAATATGTGGGGCCTGATTAGTCTGTGGAGGTGCACCCCTCCTGTGTCTGGGGCAGTCCCTCACCATATGACGTGTGTCACCACACTCTAAACAAGCTCTCGGAGGATGCGAATGATGGTACTGGCTCGGGCATGGTCGGTAGGACTGACCGCTAAAAGCACCCCGTGCAGGAGGTGCACTAGAAAGTGGCGGTGCATAATGGACAACTTGAGGCTTGGGAGTAGCCGGAATACCGCTGGAAGCTGGAAGTACAGAATGAACAGGACGAGTCACATAGCCTCTACCATGACGGGCTGCAATTGGGGCACAGGTACCACTATATAAACCAGAATCTCGTGGCCTCTTTCTCCTCTCTCTCTCTCTCGGGCTCACATACCCTCCAATCTTCTAGCAATCTCGGCTACCTACTGGTATGGGATGTCAATCTCCAACTTCCAAGCCATGTTGAATCTAATACTGTGGTTGATCCCCTCGATAAATCGACGAACTCACTCTCTGGCTGTGGAGACTAAAGCTGGTGCATATCGGGACAACTCGTTGAACCTGACCGCAAACTCTGATAAGGTCATAGCACCCTGGCGCAACTGCTCAAACTTTACGCTCGATGCATCACGAAGGCTCTAAGGAACAAACTCCCTCAGGAGCATATCTAAGAATTGAGCCCAAATGAGTGAAGTTGCCTCGGCCGGGCAATCCAACTCATACGTTCGCCACCACTGATAAGCCACTCCCTTAAGTTGGAACGTAGTGAAAGCAACCCCACTCGACTCCACAATACCCATAGTACAGAGGATACGGTGGCACTCCTCAAGAAAACCATGTGCATCCTCTGAAGCCTAACCTCTAAAAGTAGGAGGGTGGTACTTCTTATACCTCTCGAGCTTGAGTTGCTCCCCCTCTGAAGCTGCTGCCTTAACCT